GGAAACCAAGAGGAAGTGTTGGCATCAGGAAACCGATTGAAGGTAAAATCATTGCTGCTGTGCGATGGATTGGATGCAGAGTGAGGGAGAGGGCCGTGGCGGGCAGGTTTCCATTTATTTTAAATCACACCCTCTCCGCCTGTCACGGTCAGTGGATTGATCTGTCCACACATCATCATTTCGTGTAAGCTCTCAAAGACCTAAGCATCCCAGCTTTTTGAAAACCCCACTGATCTGCAGCTCTACACTGCTTTGCTTAGGGGTCCTAACCACTTACTGTGGAACAATCACAGCAAATTACAGACAGGGAGAGAGATGAAGAGAAACAGGGAGCCTGCTAGGGAAAAGCAGCAGCTACTGAGTGCTCGCTTGGTGCCCTGCACCAGTGCTCCGGGGAGCCTGTGAAAAGGCAGATTCTGGAAGCAAGGCTGGGGTGGGACCTGAGAGTCCGCATTTCTGACTCGCCACTGGGCGATGCTGCGATTTTGTAGATCCCATTTTGGATGACAAAGCACTTTGATATACGTGATTCTCATATGCATCCTAACAAGTGGGCAGCGCTGGGCCTGGGGTTCTGGTCGGCTTCACTCCCAAGCTTCTCCTTTAAAGGGAAGCCAGGCCATCCCTCCCTTCAGCATGATGTGCCGGATTTCAGTCTTCCTTCTCAGGGGATCCACTGCACAAGAAACTCATGTCTCCAGGCTTTGCCCTGAGCCCGGGCCTGCCACACTCACCTTTATCTGGCCACATCTGACCTCTCCCTGGCGAGGTGAGGGGCCCTGGAGTGCAGGGGCAGAGAGTCACACAGGGAAGTGCCTACCAGAAAATAGTTACCAGAGCTGTTTTCTAGATTTGATAATAGGCAACATTTTTGATGTGGTTAACCTCTTGGTGTACAGGGTAACTCCTACTTCTGTGGTAAAGACTCCTCTGTAGAGAGTAGAAATTTCCCAGGTTAATCCTCCTGAGAAAATGCAGAGACCAAGACATGAATGAAATCTTTGGAAAGTAGCCCTAGATGGGAACCAGGAGGCTTTCCCCTTTTTCGGCCCAGTGGTTCTCAACTTGGGGTACATACCAGAAACACCTACATCTAAAGAAAAGAAACGAAAAGAAAAAAAGAGAAAAGAAAAGCTAGCCCTGGCCAGTGTGGCACAGTTCACTGTCCTGTGCACTGAGAGGTGGCCCAGTTCAATTCACGGTCAGGGCACATGCCCAGGTCACAGGCTCCATCCCCAATGGGGGACATGCAGGAAGCAGCTGAATCCATGTTTCTCTCTCTCTCTCTCTCTCCAAAAATCAATAAAAACATATATATACTTTAAAAAGCTAAGTCTCTGATCCAAACTAATTGGGTGAGAGTGCCCAGTTGTTTCTATGGGCAGCCTGGTTAGAAACCCTTGCACAGTTGAGAGGATCAGAGTAACTCTTCATTATAAGCCAGTAAGACTCTCTGGAAGCTTCATTCCTTGGCAAGGCTGGGATCTTGAGCCTACAACTGGGGTTTGATAACTTTTTCTGGTGCCCTCCCACCTCCCTCCCAGGTTGCCCATGCCCCGCACCCTTCCCCGAGGAGGCGTACAGTTGTGCTGTGCACACCCTTCTGGGGATTTCCTTCAAGGCAGTGAGCTCGGCCGGCTGATAAGTGAGAGCAAGCTCGCTGGAGTCAGCCTCTGCAGGGGAGTTAGCTGTTGACAACTCCTGAAATTTCAAGCCGCATGATGATGTAAAGACTTCTGGTCATTGCTGAAAGGCATTTGTTTTTAAAAGGGCGGGGTGGAATATTTTCTCAGTATAATATTAGCCAAGCCTGCTTAAGTGACCTTGAGTTAAGAATCTGAAAATCCCAGAAAAGCCCAATCAGTTGTCACCCTTTCCCCCATTCCCACTTTCTGAGTCCCCCTTGACCATTCCTCTGTAACCCTCAGATCGTGCTTGGCTGGTACCTGCCTGCTCACCTCTCTCTTCTTTCTTATTATGGGAGCACCTCCTATGTTGTGCATTGTGGGTGAAATGTCAGAGTTAGATGTCCCCGCTCTCAGGGAGCTCTAAGATTACTGGTGAGACCTGGAGGACCCAGGCGACCTCAGTGTGCTGGGTGAGGGCCAAGAGCAGAGAGTGGCTCCATGGACCTGCAGAAGAGACACCTGACCCAGGAGCAGGGCTGTGACTTGTCTTGAGGATTCAGTAAGGGTGAGCCAGGAAAACGGGGTGGAGGAAGGAGACCGTGGCACTCTACCTCCTGGTTTAAGGGAGAGGACCTTTGGCGACAGAGTGGTGGAGAAAATGACTTTTTAGGGCAGTCAGATTCCAGGTGGAGCAGAGACAAAAGCTTGGGGTCCCTGGACACATGTCACTCACCGATGAACTCATGCAGGAACACCTTCCTGCAAAAGAATCTGATGAACGAGCTGACAGTGCTGGTGAGAGGACATCCCAGAAGGTGTTGGCGAGGGAAACTGTCCGCAACGGTCGCCATTAGCTGGGGGTTTCACCTTTTCATCTCTAGGGAAGAGCTGATGTCACTCTCTCGCTGGCCCCCCGGGGGTGCTCTGATCCCCCACAAATCACCTGGCCACCTCGTGCACAGTCACTTCCTTTTCTTCTTAGTCGAGCGAAGGGAAGGTTGGTGGCAGTCTTCTAGACATACTCAACTAAGAGACAATGTTTTTGTTTTTATAATTTTTTAAAAATGTGTTTGTTTTTTCTAAAAAAATGGAATTTTAGAGAGACAGGAAGGGAAAAGGAGAGAAAAACATCAACTGGCTGCCTCCTGCACACCCCCTACTGGAGATCGAGCCTGCATGGGCCCTGACCAGGAATCAAACCTGAGACTTTTTGTGCAAGGACCGATGCTCAACCAACAGAGGCGCACCTGCCAGGGCCAGGATACAGTTTTAAAATGAATTCAAAAATTTATATGGGCACATATATGGCGTAGATGTAGTTATCTATTTTTATATTTAATGTTATTTTGTTTCTATAGTTAATGTACTTATTTATCCTATTACTACCTGATCTCAAAAGGAGTCAGCATGTTGTACAATTAGAGACAGATGCCACAGGCACATTAAGACAAAGAAGGAACAAGGCCCATGAACTGAATTTCAGGACAGAGGAGAGGGTTTCCAAAGTATTTGCTAGAGCTTAGGATGAAGAGAGAACCCTGGGCTTCTTTAGAAGCAAGGGGAAAAGGAAATTTCCCATTATATGATAAAATAAAATTCACCAATTTCTTAAGAAAGGCAAATGTCAGAGAAGTTTACAGACCATCAATTCTTTTAACAAAAATGTAACTGGAGTCTAGTCACAGGCTGTTAGATCACACTGTTCCCCAGGCACACAGACGCCAACTCTTTTCCTGGTCTTTCCTGGCCCCATGTGATGTAGCTGAAACATTTCTACCGTCTGTTGGTCAGTCTGGCCCTCAAGGCTATCTCCTTGGCTTCTTCTGAGATGATCTGATCTACACATTCTGAGCTGTGGGCACTGGTGGGCCCTTTTTAATGCCATAGGTCACCTCCTTCCATATGGCAACTCTTCCTGTTCCTAAAGCCATGCCTCTCGCTGGACCGGCGAGTGCACCGTGCAGTAGCCTGCAGAGGACGCCTAGAGATTCCCGTTTATCAGCAGGGTGAAGATGCTTAGCATCCCTTATGCCTCATGAGCAACCACATCCTCCCAAGCTGAGATCATCAACTTTCCCACTGGCCCCGGGGTCCCTCAACTCCTATCTTGGGTACACTATTCAGGGTTGTGACCTTGGAGAACAGAGTTCCCAAAAGCCAAAAACGTACTTGAATGTGTTAAAATTATTTGTCCAATTTGATGTGGGGCTTACATACTTGTGAACAGTTTCCTGGAAGGAAGGCCTGTGGTCTTTATGATATTCTCAGATGGGCTCAACTTCAAAAAAGTTAAGGATCGTTCTTGTAGAATTCTATCGCTACATCTGCATGACGTTGCAGAGACTTCCACTGTGACGTCAAATGCACAGATGGTCTTCTTTCCATCTTGAACTTGGGACTATACGTTCCATACCTACTGCTCAGAACAAGGCATGGGCCCTTCCTAAAATCCGTATGGTGTCTCTAGCACCTTGCCTGCCCTTTTCTCTATTGTCAAGCCATAATAAAACCGCAATAAACATATCTATAGTGCTTTATGGTTTATGAAGTACATCCAAATATATCCTCTAATTCCAATCAGAGTTTCCATTTTACAGGTGGGAAACCTCAAGGAAGGTCTAGTGACTCATTCAAGGTTTCGCTGGAGCTGGTGGGTTCTGGTTCCACATGGGAAACTGAAATCTGTGATGTTTGTAGTCTCTTCTCCCTGCCAGAAACCACGAGGGGATCGGAAAAGCTGGACTTTCTGCATAGCTGAAACTAATCCAAGCCACTGATGCCTCTTCCTGTTACAGTAACTTTCTAAACCTGATGTTCCGAAATGTGACCTGAGCCCCTCAGTACTTATATCATAAATTACCGCTCCTAAGCTAGTACAAAAGATGATTTGCTAAGGTGTCTGCTCAAGTTATCAACATAGGCAACATGTATTAACCCTTGGATGCACACACCAATGTCCTGGTCACAGAGTTAGCCTCAAGGACAAATACCATCAAGGGGTGGTGGTGGCGGTGGTAAGGTGAACCCTTCATCATTTTGATTTTTAAAAAAATATCTTTATTGACTTCAGAGAGAAGAAGGGAGAGGGAGAGAGAGATAGAAACATCAATGATGAGAGAGTCATTGATCGGCTGCCTTCTGTACGTCCCCTGCTGGGGAGCAAGCCCGCAACCCGGACATGTGCCATGTCCCCAGGCACGTGGGGAATTGAACCACAGTCTCCTCCTGGATCATAGATTGATGCTCAACCCCTGAGCCACGCCAGCAAGGCATCATTGTGAATAGACTTCAGTTACTTTCGACCTCTCGCCCAGAAGGATTGGAGTCTCCATCCATGAGAAAGCATTTCTCATCCTGAACTTCCCCCCACAGGAGGCCTATGTAACGGAACAGGATAAAATCCGGCTGGTGGGGGAGCTGGTGACCATCATCGGGGCTGTGATCATGCTGTTCCTAGAGGTGAGGTCCAGGTGGGGTGCAGGCCCAGGCCATCGATCTGCGGCCCCAGGCGGAACTGCCATCTCCATGGTCTTTTTGTTCTACTGGCCCCTTCCCAGATCCCAGACATCTTCAGGGTGGGTGCCTCCCGCTATTTTGGACAGACCGTCCTTGGTGGGCCGTTCCATGTCATCATGTGAGTGTCCCTTCCTTCCGACCCCATGCCTTCCCTCACCAGAACTGTTCCAGGTCCCTCTGGGACCTAGACTCAGATGACTCTTCTCATGTGTGTGTTTTAGATGTAAAAACTAAGCCTGAGTGTGTGGGTACCACCTTAGTCATGCCTGTGCTGGAGGGGACCTAGAATATTTCCAGCCTCCCCCTCACTCCCTACTCCCTGCTCTCCCCCAGCATCACCTCTGCCTCCCTAGTGCTGGTGACCATGGTGATGAGGCTCTCCAACACCAGAGGGGAGGTGGTCCCTATGTCCCTTGCCCTGGTGCTGGGCTGGTGCAGCGTCATATACTTTGCTCGAGGATTCCAGATGCTGGGTCCCTTCAGCATCATGATCCAGAAGGTCAGTGCTTTCCCCAAAGTTTCCTCTCTCTTCAGCTGTTAGGACTTTCCTGGACAGAGGGAGAGGGGGGACCAAAATAGAAAGTGCTGCTCAGAGTGGGTCTGGGGGGAACTCCAGGGACCTCCTGGTCTATTAGCAATAGCTCCACAGATGGGAAAAGATTCACTCCCGCCCCCTGCCCTTCTCTGTTTCCTGTAGATGATTTTTGGAGACCTGCTGCGTTTCTGCTGGCTGATGGCTGTAGTTATTCTGGGATTTGCCTCAGGTAAGAGCACAGCTCCCTCCCCCGCAGATCCTTGGATCCAATTCTCCAGAGCGTTCACTCTCACTCTTGCTCTCAGTCCTCATTTGCACTCCCATTTGCTCTCCCACCACCACCCCAGTGGGAAGTGAGTCAAAAAGCAACTGAGGCCCGTAGAATCTGGGTCACTCAGGTTGGCCTAGGAGGTGGACCCATGTGCTCTGAATTTCTGAACCAATAACGTTGGTGTTGACTATCTGCCCTGCAAGATCTTTAAAAGACACATAGAAAAAGGGCTTTGGTGCAGAAGGGGCATTACACAGGAAAGACTGGCCACCCGTGGAGCCCAGAAAATGACGTAGGCAAACAGAAGCAGTGAGGTATTTAGCTTTCTGTTTACACTCCAGAAGAAGGAACAAAGCATTCAATAACACAACGTGCTTTGTTTTCTGTGTGCTCAAAGTTGAAGAAAAAAAAAGGAAAGAATTCTCAAAAGGAGGTACAAAAAATGTTTGGGGAGTTTGAGGAACAAGAGAGGAAAACAGACGGAGAGTCGTGAAGACAGACTGGGCAGAGAGGGGAGGGCCAGGGAAAGGAATGGGTGGAAGAAAGGTTTTAGGGAAAGGCAGGAAGAGCAGGGAAGAACCGAAAGTGGCTACTCTAATCCAGCTACAGCAGGACACCCATATGACAAGGGGGTCTGCTACATGACATCTGAAGGCCCCCACCCCAACTCTAAAAGACCAGGGCTCAGTACAAAGGGTACTGTTCCTGTCCTAGGAATTCCCTGTTGAACGGGGGAATCCCATAAAACAGTCGACCAAAAATTTGCACCAACAGCTGAACTATAAAAGGGTAAAACTGTAAAAAAATTATATATGCATATATATATATATATATATACGTGAGTATTAACATTGTCCAGAGTGATGAATTTGGTCCTAGGGCGTGTCAGGATTAGCCAGGTCCACAGGCGGGGACTCCCGCGTTTGCACTCACACATCTCTGTGCGTGTGCGTGCGCCCGGGCGTGCGGGTTGTGCGGGAGGCAGAACGGCCGCTCACCGCCACCCCTCCCGCGCCCTTGCCCCGCGTCCCCGCCGAGCAGCGTTCTTCATCATCTTCCAGACGGAGGACCCGAGCAAGCTGGGGGAGTTCTACGACTACCCCACGGCGCTCTTCAGCACCTTCGAGCTCTTCCTCACCCTCATCGACGGCCCCGCCAACTACAACGTGGACCTGCCCTTCATGTACAGCATCACCTACGCCGCCTTCGCTGTCATTGCCACCCTGCTGATGCTCAACCTCTTCATAGCCATGATGGGCGACACTCACTGGCGGGTGGCCCAGGAGCGGGACGAGCTCTGGAGGGCCCAGGTGCGTTTAGCAGTGTCGGTCTCCCCGAGGAGCAGGGGGTGGGGAGAGCACTCGGAGGGTTATGTCAGGGTGGATGGCCCTTAGGCGAGTACAGAACACCCAGCGGGGCTGTCCCCTCCACAGAGGTACATCTGGACAGATGGAGGGGACAGAAACAGGGTGAAATGGTAGCAATAGGTAGGATCAACCCCAGGATCTGAGGAGATCGATCACGGTCAAGAGAAGACAAGGACTGTAAGAGTAGACAGTGGAGAACTGGGCTTTTGAAAGGGTTGGCAGTCCCCTTGATTCATAGAGCTCCCTGGCCCCAATCCATCCTGACTGCGCCCTCCCAGTCCTGCCCTAAGAGGTCATGGTCCTTTCAAAACTGGGATGGTCCTGCTGTGATCAGAGGAATGCAGGGGGGCAGGCCCGTCCCGGCTTTGGACACTCTTCTATGAATAGCACCTAAAACTGAGTCAGGTCTTCTCGTTTGGCCCCAGTTAATCTTATGGTCAACTAGAACCCCGAATCTCTGTTACACAACTTAGCTAAGCTCCTCCTCTGTTTCCCTGTACTTACATGGATACTTGAGTCTTAAACGTAAGTGGAGGACCTTACGTTTGGTTTCCTTAAACTTTATGTTCTTGGTTTCTGCCCAGCATTCCTGTCTGCTGAGATCATTTTTATATTGCTTCTGCCACCTTGCAAAGGACATATCCCTCCCTATTTTGTGTCACAGGCATATTTGATAAGTTTTCCTTCTATGTTTCATCTGAGTAATTAATGAGGGCTGGGCAAAGTACAGAACATGTGATATGCTACCAGAATTTTCCCTGCCAAGTGTGTCACCATTAACCCACTCTTCCCCCTCCTAGGACGTGGGTATTTAATTTGCTACAAATTCCCTAAACACTAGCAGCATTACTTCATCTTTAAGACAATAGAGATTTTATTTAATTATTTTATTTAAATCAAGACAGTCGGCCTATGGCTTTCCTATGAAAGCAAATGAGATCACTTTGGAGTGACTCATTTTCCATGAATCTGAATACTAATGAAGGGGTCACTGGATTATTCAAAATACTCATAAAGCCCGGCCGGGCGGGGCTCAGTGGCTGAGCATCGACCTATAATCCAGGAGATGGAGGTTCGATTCCCCATCAGGGCACATGCCCGGGTTGCGGGCTCAATTCCCAGTAGGGGGCGTGCAGGAGGCAGCCGATCAGTGACTCTCTCATCACTGATGTTTCTCTCTCTCTCCCTCTCCCTTCCTCTCTCTGAGATCAATAAAGACATATTAAAAAACAAAAACTCATAAAATATTCTTCCTCTTTTTATGATGAATAAAAAGTAAAGCAGATAGCATGGTGCCTGGCACAGGCTAGGAGATGGACAAATGACCGTCATCTCCACTGCTCCCTGGTGTCCTCACGCCACCGTTTCCCTTGCACTCTCTGTGGCCTCCGGTGTTCTCCGAACCCCGTATCTTTCTGAGTTCTCCCTCTCCTCCCTCGCCCTTCCAGATCGTGGCCACCACCGTGATGCTGGAGAGGAAGATGCCTCGCTTCCTGTGGCCTCGCTCCGGGATCTGTGGGTACAAGTACGGGCTGGGGGACCGCTGGTTCCTGAGGTGAGTGGCCATGTGCACGCACCAACTGGAAATGTGTGTGACGCCACGGGAGCAAGGGTGACCAGCTCCTCACTTATCACCCTCCCCCCATGCTCGAGATCCCAAATTGGGCCCAAAGGAGAAGTCCCCGCTCTGTGAAGTGAGCCCGCATTAGCCGGGCTGAGGGAGGAGGCTGGCGCTGAGTGGGGATAGAAGGAATGGTGATAGCCGAGGCCAGGCTGTGGCCGTCAGGGCAGTAACGTGTGAGAAGCTACGTGCGGGGTGTTCCCCCCAAAATGTATACACACTGTAACAGCTGATGGATCAATTTTGAAAATGAAATGCATTTTAATAAACACTGCCTTTATATTTATTCAAAGTGTGTGTATACATTTTGGGGGGACACCCTATCTATGTGTCCATACTCAGATGTGGGCGCGGGTTACCCAACTTGTTTTAGTCTTGTTCCTAGCGGACCCCCGTTTCTAGTATATTCTTGCCTTGAAGCTAACCTCCTTCATACTCTATTCTTAGCGCCTAACCTGGCCCTCCCCTCCCCTTATTTATGGCCTGAATTGTGTGTCATCCTGGTGACATAGCTGTCTCAGTTGGCTTCATTTCTCTTTCATATTCACCCGAATCGCCCCACCGCCATACCCACGCTCAAGTCCTGAGTTCAAGACCCCTTCGGTCCCTACCCGAGCTGGCCCTCCATTTGACTGCACCTTCCTTCACTTGACCCGGGGCGCTCTTCTTACATCACCTCTGCTCCCCGCCTTCCCCTTTCCTCTTGACCCAGTTTCCTACCCGTGCCCCATCCACCTGTGTTGCGCCCCGGGCCCACCTCTCCCCACCTCAGCTGGGTGCTTTCCCTTTTCCCGCCTCAGAATCGAGAGCCTCCATGATCAAAATCCTCTGCGGGTGCTTCGCTACGTGGAAGCTTTCAAGTCCTCAGACAAGGAGGATGAGCATCTTTCTGAGAAACATCTCTCTGTGGTTGAAAGGGGGACTCGAGCCAGAAGCTCCCTGACCCTCCCAACGCCCTCCCTGTCCCGGACCACATCCCGCAGCAGCAGTCACTGGGGCTGGGAGATCCTTCGTCGCAACACCCTGGGACACTTGAATCTTGGACTGGAGCTTGGTGAGGGGGATGGAGAAGAAAACATGTATCTATGATTAGGGGCCCTGCTGCTCTTCACGTAACTCCAAGTGGCCTGCCTGCGGGAGGAGGCAGGGAGAGAGACACTTTCCCATGCAAGTATCTAACTTCCATGCTGTTAACAATGGCAGGGGATAGAATAATTCTTCAAGGCCATGCCTCAGCTTTCATCTAAGCATTTCTGGAGATGGGCAGTAGGCATGTGTTGTCCTACACATCTTCTGAAAGCCCCATATCTTGGGAAATGAAGGTCTCTTTTTTGAGCAAAGTTGGGCTTGGCCATTAAAGACGTGAGGTGCGGGTGCTGGACTAATAACATCTGGATCATCCTTCTACCCCCTGAAGGTACTGGAAAGTAGCCTGCTGTGTAGCCTGCCTGGCTCCACATGGGAAGAGGCAGGCACAGCCCTGAGGTAGTGGCCCTTCCCTTTTTCCTGTAGCCTCAAAGGACTCTCTCCCCACCTAGCAACCAAACCCCAACTAGACAACTGCAAGAAGAAAGGTCCTTTGCCCTTGCTTTATTGAAAAAATATTTATTGTAGTAATATACACACAGAATCGATCACTTGAATCATTTTTAGGTATATGATTCCATGGCATTAATTACATTCACAGTATTGTACAACTATCACCAGTATTTATCTATAGAACTTTTTCACCATCTCAAGGTGGAACTCCTCTACCCATTAAACGTTAACTCCCCACCATCCCCTAATAATCAATATTCTACTTTCTGTTACAAATTGGACTACTCTAGGCACCTCACAAAAGTGGAATCATGCAATATTAGTTCTGCCGTGCCTGGTGTATTTCACTTAGCACAGTGCTTTCAAGATTCATCAATGTAGCCTGTATAAGAATCTCATTGCTTTTAAAGACCAACTAATAATTTAATTGTATGCATATACAATTTTTTTTAATCCATTCATCCATGGTTAGACATTTGGGTTGTTTCCACCTTTTGGCTATTGTGAGTAATACTGTTACGAATATTGGTGTGCAATTATGTAAGCCCCTGCTTTCAATTCCTTTGGGGATATACCTACAAGTGGAATTGCTCGATCTTATGGTAATCTTTGCCAATTTTTTGAGAGCCTGCCGTACTCTTTTCCATAGTGACTGTGCTATTTTACATTTCCTCCAGCAATATACAAGCATTCCAGTTCCTCCACATCCTCATCAATACTTGTTACTTTCTGTTTGTTGTTGCTGTCAGTAGCCATCCCAATGGATGTGAAGTTTATCTTATTGTGGTTTTGATTTGCATTTCCTTAATGCCCAATGGCAATGAACACCTTTTTTGTGTGCTTATTGGCCAGCTGTGAATCTTTTTTTTTAAGAAACGTCTATTGAAGTCCTGTGCCCATGTTGGAATTGTGTTGATTTGCCCATGTTTGAACTGTGCTGATTGTCGTTGTTTCTGAGTTGTCTCATCCTTGCTCTTTGAGGCTCGGAGTCTAAAGTGTTTGTATCTCGTTTGCATCCTGGTGTGTTTTTAAGTATATGTGGTAAATGATGCCTTTCTATGCTTGAGTGGCCCAAACATGTCTTTTATGGGACTGTCCCTGGTCTGTCTCTCAGGTGGCTCATTAGCAGCTGATCATCCTTGTGTCTGAAGGTAGCTCTCTTCCTGATGTCCCCTGCCACCCTCATCTCCCTTTGTCCCTGTGCTGAGCTGTTGGGTGGATGACAACCACAGAAGAGGGGCATCCCTCTTCAGGAAGGAAACTGGTAACTGGGCGCCCACCACAGGAACTCAGGTGCAGCTTCCCTCTGGTCTCCCAGCCCTTCTCATCCCGGCCCCATTATGACCCTCACCAAAAAGCCATGATAACTTTTAAAAGGATTGTGCTCTACAACAGCAAAGAGATATGTGGGATTTGTGAAACCATAGATGGGTTCACCCAGATACTCTTGCAAAGCTCGGAAGAGTGTGGGACAGTGAGGGGTCACACGAGCATGCATGTGCGCCCCACACACGCTGCGGGGACATGCAGCATGGGTTCTAAAAGTGCTTGGTCACCACAATCCCTCGTATTTTCTTTCACCGTGGAAGCATATCCTTTCCTGTGGACAGCTAAACTCCCTTCTGTGTCCCAGATCGTTTTCTGTCTCTCTCTTCTGTCATCCTGGTCTATCACTGTCTTCTCTACTGCTTCATTCGTGTGTCTTCAACCTCTCCCTCTCCACTAGCTCCGGTCAGCAAATAACCACACTCTGTTCTTTTCCATCTCCAAACACATTGCAAACGCCTCCACCTCACCCCCAGCTATGACTGCCCCATCTTTTTTACTCTCTCTTCAGGCCCAGACTTCTTAAGAGAAGAATCCATTTTCCACTGACCTCACACGGAGTCCTCAATCCATTGTGATGGGACCTTCCCTCTCCGTGCTTCTGATGTCACTCTCATCAAGGTTATCTGTCCACCTGCAGCTAAATCCACTGAAAGTTTCAGTCTTGCTCGAACTTTCTGTAGCATCTGTCAGATTACAGTCAACCACTCACCACCTCTCAGCATGTCCACGGCCACATACTATACCACTGTGTCTGCCTCTCTTCTACCAATCTCTTCAATATTTGTGGTCCACAGGCTCTGGGCAGTCCATTTACTTTGTAGGTTGCATTAACACACGCAAGTTTGTGATTCCCAGCCCCTTATCTTCAGTTTAGATCACCCAGGCGTGCACAGCTTGGTTGCCTATCTATTGGACATCAGTACCTGAAACTTTTACAGGCACCTCAAACTCAACATGTCTCAAACTGAACAGCTTTCCTTCCTCACCAAACCTGCTCCTCCACTAATGCTTCCAACCGAATCATGGGCAAAGTTGCCCAAGCCAGAGTCCTTGACACCATCTACACATCCGTCTCAACTCTCATCTTCAGTAAATCTAAAATCTTGTGAATTTTATTGCCTAAAACATCTCCTTTGAAAAGTAACAAATAGTGATTAATAATACATCACGTGGCACAAAACTGAAGGAGCACACAAGATATATGGGGGGGGGGCTGGCGGAAGCTTTCCTACCTCTGTCCCAGCCCTTTTAGTGTTCTTCCTATAGATGTTCACTTATAAAAGTTTATTTATCCTTTCAAAATTGCTCTCTGCATGTCCAAGCATATGTATGTATACATTCCTCTTAAAATACATATGATAGTACAGTATATTAGAAAAACAGTTCTTGCTTTTCTCATTTACTATAGGATATCCCAAAAATTGTATACACACACTTTGAATAACTATAAAGGCAGTGTTTATTAAAATACATTTCATTTTCAAAATTGAGCTGTCAGCTATTCAAGTGTGTATACATTTTGGGGGGACATCCTGTATATTTGAAGACTGTTTCATGCCACTATAACATAAAAGCACCCCCTTTCACTCGTCTCTGCCTCTGAACCCCGCTGGCTTTCTAAAACGGGCCACAGCTCTCTCCAGCTCTCTCTCGTGCATCACAGGGTTAGGTTCCTAGCTGCTCTCTGCTCGTAGGCTCGGTCTCCTGCGATCCGTAGTGCACACTACAGCCAAAGTGATCTTTGTACAATGCAACTTCTGCCTCAGCGGTGGTCTTTGGAAAGCCTTCCCGTAGGCTGACCCCTGGCAACGTCTCCAGCCTCCTCCCACACCTCTCCTCTTGCCCTCGGCCACCGAGGGAATTAGTATTAGTCACTCCATGGTGCTAGCTTCTCCTTCCCCTTGGCCTTCGCCGCGTGTGGGCCATTCTACCTTCTGCACCCATCCCCCTTTCTGTCTTTGTAACTCGTATCCATCCTATTGGTCGCAATGATCACCCGCTGATTGTGTGCTCGTGTGTGTGTGTGTGTGTGTGTGTGTGTGTGTGTGTGTGTATGTGGGGGGGGGCGCATTCCTGACCCGCCGGCTGGCTAGAGTCCACTTGCTCTGTGTCCCCAGGTCACCTACTTTTTTCTTTTTAGTACACATCCCGCACTTTATTGCATGTACTTGTTTAAATGTCCTGCAGTAGATTATAAAGCAAAGATGACGTCCATCTCGTTCATTGTGCTGCCAGCGTGTGGCCTAATTCCCGGCACAATCAAGTGGGAAATAAATATCCATTAACTGAATCTATGAATGATTGGCCTGTTTTTATTCTGAGTTCTTCCAGTGGGGTAACAAATACCTGCCATTGAGTGGGGTTGCGGGAATTAAAAACGAGCAGATGATATGGGTGGAAACACTTTGGGAAGGAAAAACAGACACAAATGTGATTATTGAGAAAATGTTCGTGTATATATATACACACACACACACACACACCTGTGTGAGAGAGAGAGAGGTGGAAAGCTGTGGAACATCAAAAGGACGGGGAAAGAAGGGGGCCCCAGCCGTGGAGCTCTGGGACGGATCTTCCTGAGCCGCCCGGTGCGTGGTGCCTAGAAAGCCGCAGTCCAGGCCGTCGGGGCTCTGCGTCTGCCTCGGGAGCCCAGCTGAGAAAGGCAAAGACGCAGGCAGGCTGAGTGGACCGTGGGCTGAGGGTTCAAGTGCCCAGCAGATGCTCTTGTCCCAAAGGGCAGCTGCCAGGGCTATGACGGGGCTCCAGATACAGGGGCGGGGGACAGAGAAAAGCTGCTGTTTCTGCCTCAGGGATTCTTTGGGTCCCCCCCAAAATGGTTATCATTCTCCCCTCATCTCCCTCCTCCCTGGTGACTTCAGAATACGGAAGGCAGGAAATCCTCGCTCCAGGCGCCTCACAGGCCAGAGGCAGGGGGGTGACAGCAGGGATGTTTTGTTCTCTCAAGAGGCTGTGGACTCTACAAATATGTCCCCTCCCAGCTGTTTGCAGAGTATTCTGCTGACAAGGCTCTGCTAGGGAGGGTCGTGGACACCCCGAGGATTGGCTCTGCCAGCAGCCTTGGAAAGGAAGGGCAGAGGTCACTGTCCCTCCCCTGTGCCCTGCCGAAGGAGCGCCAGATAAGGTCTGGGGTCCTGCAGGGGAGGGAGGCAGGAGCCGGAGAGGCTGGGGGAGAAGGGCTGACGTGCGGGTCCCAGGGGCACGGGGCACATGGCAGAGAAAGGGTGGAAAAGTGGAGTTGGCGTGAGAGCCAGCTGCGGCCTCCACGAGGCACCTTCGCCACCTGTTTCCACGCTGAAAGCTGAGAAAACACCTTGACATGGTCAAGGATCAGTTACCTCTCCAGGTCAGGCCTACCTGTTTCTGAAAGCCCCTGGGGGAAATGAGGCTGGGCAAGGGAAGAAACGCTTTGACTGGAGGACGGAGTGGGCTGGGTAACGTGGCCCCTCTCTCTGTCCTGGGAGGGCAGCCAGGCAGGAGCCACCTGGGCTAAACTGGCCACACCTGCCTCCTTCGCTTGTCCCACGTCTTTGTTACCCTGGCGCTGAGGAGGTGGCGACTAGAGCCCTGGGGCCTGGGGCAGCGCTGACTCAGGCAAAGCTGGAGGCCTGGGTGTGCCTGACCCCGCTCACCCGGGCAGCGCTGGGCATCTGCGAAAGGGGTCTGCTCGGGCGTGTGCATGCGTGCAAGCGGTCCTTAAAGAGCTGCCCTTTCTTCCACACGCGTTCACTCCTCTTCTCCTGCTGCTGGAGTTAATTGCTTGCCTAACTCCCTCCTGATGGAGCTGTGAAAGCAACTGTGGGGGTCTGGCATCAGGTTACTCCCAGAGACTCCATCATTGCTACCACCCCCCACTGACTACATGGCAGCGGCTAGTGTGGGTTCTGGGCTAACCTGAGAGCCACTCAGCTCGCCTCTGCCAACTTTCTCATCCCCATGAGCATCCCCACCAGACGCCGGGGCCCTCGAGGGGTAAGGAGCCCAGGTGAAAAGCCCGGCTTCACTTCGCTGCTCCGCCCTGGGATCAGCTGATGGTTTCTGACTTGTTTCCCTGACCTGGCTGTGAAAAGATAGTAGCAGCACACTCGCGAAAGCATGGGGGCCGCTAAGAGTTGACCGATGGAGAGAGCTGATGTCGGGGTGTACCTGCCCTGGCTCCCCTCTCTAATGCCCGTTGCCCTCTATGTTTCCTCCACCCTTTCTAGGCACTGCCTTCCAATCCCCCCCGAGATAAGTGGTAAGGGAGAGAAACAGGTCATTCAAAGCCTGTGGCTACGTGGGGGTGACCCCTGGCCCAGTCCTTCCAGATGCTCTCCTGCCCGGGGTCAGAGAGCGTGACCCCCCAAATGGATGGCTGGTATCTCCTCCCAAGACTCTCAGTCCTGGTCCCTCCTCTCCCCACATGAACCAGTCTGGGGAGGACACCCAGCCATTCTTCCCTATCTCAGGCAGAAGTCCCTGCTCGTCATGGATGAACCTGATGGGCCAGGAGGGGACAGCCCCCAGGCCCCACAGCCTCTGAGCCAGAGCCTCGGGGCCTTAGGTCAGTGATGGCCCCCTGCCCCTGGGTCCCAGGCCGGCCGGGAGGGGCGCTCAGGACAGGGGGAGGGGATGGAGTGGCTGCAGCCAGCGCAGGTGCCTCTCTGCACACACCACACCCTCCCCGCC